TCTGATCAAAGAAAGTAGCTCGTAGTATTTACACGCACTTCATATTTGATAGATGCAGCAAAAAAATAATGCCTACTCATTGTCAATACAAATGCAAAGTCCTATTAATATTACTTCGTTATGCACTGTTAGTTTTGTGTGAAAATTTTTAGTCAGTGCAAGAGCAGTAAGCACTAATCGTTTTAAAATATAAGTAATAACGAGAAATTAGCAAATTCGGATAATATTTAAATTAGCTTTTGATCAAAATCTTCAATCATATTAATTAAAGTTTTACTTAAAACGTTTTTTCCTCATTGCATATCAATCGGTTGTTGTGATCAGTCGTTCGAATTTAACTTTATTTGTAAAATGACTTTCATTGGTTTTTGAACAGTAATAAAGTACTGAGTTAGACTTTACGTAAAGTTCTAAACATATTTCAAATGATAATTTTTAGAAACAATTTGAAGAGATGTAAAGTTAAATTTTAGCATGAAATAATTTCCGTTATTTCTAATGAACATTTGGATTCTATAAGCAGTTTCGAGATCAATTTTGTAATAATAAGTTTGATGAATTTCATTTTTTAGAAGTGACCTGAGAAGGAATAATATGAATGACCCAGTAGAGTTAGATCATGAATTGAACCGAACTTTCTATCATGGACTTTTGCCTCATGCAGATATTGATCCACTGCTTAGGGACGAGGGTGATTTTGTCGTTCGTAAGACTGATAAAGATGGTGAATTAAATTTTTTGAAAACATTCAAAAGCCAAAACACTTCCAATCATTTCTACATATAATTCACGTACAAAAATTAATGAGCAACAATCTAAACTTGAATTATTAAAAATTAAAAAGTGAAGTATGGCAAAATGGGTTATCAGTAGAAGTAGCGAATTAAGTATTACTAATACTATACTATAATCCATCGAGTAATACAAAAATAGTTCATACTTAATATGAACCCATTTTGCCATACTTCATTACTCGATGGATCATAGTAACATACGACTATTAACTTTACGTATTTGAACTTGTTCTTACAGGTTCACAGGTTCACGTTATCGCCGTAATGATGAAAAGTCTAAAAGTTTGTAAAATTTTCTAGGTTTGATCATTTTGGCGTTGTCAGTGAAATGGAACAAGCAAGTGTTGCATTTTATCGTCAATCAAGATGAAACTGGACAGTATTATTTTGAAACGCACAAGGTTTGCATCCTAAGCGAATATATTCAAACTAGAATTAAAAAATTTCGAAGCCTTCAGAAAGAGATTTGCCTTGGCTATTTTATTAACAATAATCAGTGAGCAATCAAAAACAGCACAATCCGTGAATTTTCAGCACAGTAAAGTAAAATAAAGAAGTTGTTGTTCAAATTTGTTTCAAGCATTCAATGCATATATGTAAATCATAATTAAGGAGAAAACAGTTCATAGTTTAATCGAATGGCATAGGTCAACAGGAACTCCTGTATCTGCAGGAAGCCAGGCAAAACTTGTTAAAGGGATAGCTCGACAACCCTGGCTTTTGGATCATGATGAGATACAACTGCAGAGGAAACTTGGTGAAGGAGCTTTCGGAGAGGTAATTCTTCTTTTGGTACACATTGAATAAGTGAGAGCTAACCAATCTGATTCAGTGTTGTTAACATTTATAGACGGAAATCGTGTTAAGTTTTGCTTGCAACTATGAATGGATTCATAAAAATTAATAACACATTAATCAAGCCGATTTTAATTAGAAAATATTCCTAGATCAGATACTTGGTGTGGCATTTAAGGAAGGGTGTTTGTTCATTTTTGTGATGATATTTCAGTAATCTTCAAAATTTGTAATTGAATCTGAAGTATATGCAAACTTTTGTCGATAATTTTGATTGTTTTGAGCTTTTCTACAACAAAACAATAACTTGGAGATAGTTTAATTAAAGATGCATTTGAGGTATATTTAGCGCAGTATGTGCAAGCAAACAAGGTTATAAATGTAGCAGTAAAAACAATGCGTGAAGAAATTTCACGCCAAGCACGCTTGAAATTCATGAAAGAAGCTCGCATAATGCGCAAATTTTCCCATCCTAATATAGTGAAGATTATGGGCATTCTAGTATATGAGAACCCTTTAATGATTGTCATGGAATTATGTCCAGGTAAATACCAACTCAATATTCAAATTATTTAACATGTTATCAGACAGTTGTCAATGTCGTATTTATTACTTAGCAAATTTAAATACTCATAAATTGTAATAGTGCTACTTTTCAGGAGGTTCGGTGCTTGGTTATCTTAGAAAAAATGCACCTACTACTTTGGATATGAAATTGCGCTTTGCAACAGAAGCTAGTGCTGGTCTTGCATATCTAGAATCTAAACACTGTATTCATAGGTATCAATTTTAATTATGCACTTTTAAGGCTTCTCTTGCATATACTAAGTTTATCTGGTATGGTTTATTTCCTCAATAAATGTAAACAAAGTAACACTTAAACACTTACATTCTTTGCACGCATACTTTTTAGTTAAATTTTAAATTTTAGAGATATAGCAGCACGAAACTGCTTGCTCTCCGATAAGTTAGATATAAAAATAAGCGATTTTGGCATGTCTGATGAACGAAGATTCATTCATGACGAAAAATTAGAAAAGGTAATCATGCATCAATTACTATGAAAATGAAACCAGAAACAAAAAACAAAGCCACATTTAAATTGATAAATTTAAATTGAGATAAATAACATCTCAACGACACTTTCAGGTCCCAATGAAATGGCTTGCACCTGAAACCATGCAACAGCGTATATTTTCGTCCAAATCCGATGTCTGGTCTTTTGGAGTGCTGGTATGCAAATATATTTAAAGTCACCTCAATAATGGTAGTATTAGAAGAGCTATATTTAGGATGCTGATGCGAAGAATTGAAAATAAACAGGCGAAGAAATAGTAGTGACTTTGAAATATCTACTTCGCAATTTTATTAATATGTAAGAATATCACACAAATAGCTCCCATTTTTTTGTAAGACAGTTTTGGGGTTTTTCGCCTACATATTAAAAAACAGGTTTGGGAAGTGTATGCTGATGGAAGGGAACCTTACCCAGGACTGTCCAATATTCAAACTCGAGCCAAGATTGTGGTTCAGAATTACCGAATGGAAATGCCAAAGGTTTAGTTTCATTCAAAATAGAACTAAACAGGTAAACCACATGTCCAATGATACAGTGGACGTCATGTCGACTAAGTGAATCAATCGTTGCCAAAATAGATGTGCTTGGAAGAACTTAAAGAAAATCTATTAAGTATTTCAGACTACACCTTCCTCAATATCAAGGCTTGTTTATCGGTGTTGGAAAACTGAACCGAACGAACGACCTAGTTTTGCCGACATTCATGAAGAACTGAAGGCACTACATAGAAAATAAAATACGATACTTTGATAACCAACACATTTCTTGCCAGGAATTTTAAAAAAGTGTAAACAAATTAGATTCTTGAAGTCAACACAATACATAGATTACAACTTTTCTGAAATAAAAACAATAAACGAGTATAGTTCAATGCCCTGATATTTAAAGAAATCACACCATTACTAGTACCAAATTACAAAATTGTAAACACCTCAGCAATCAAGTTTAAATTAATATCAAACAACCACTGGAAAGTAATTGTGAATCATAACTTTATTATTGAAATTGCTTTTTTCAAACAATACAACTTCATATAAAACAATTTCAATTTCGCAGAGTAATACTTTGATAGACTAGGAATTTAAACAGGCAACAAAACGAGTACACCAGATAACTGAAATATTGTTATGGTAACCAACAAACAATATTAAATAAAGTATTTCCCCCAAAATAAAAGATAATTTGAAAAAATTCCAATAAATAGATTCTCCATACAAAAGTTTCAAGTTAAATATTCACGTGTTGTTTATGAATATCAACAATGATACAAAGACATTTAATACTATACTGAAAACAAATACGAATTTGTTTGTATAATGTTTGAACTATGAAAGCTATACGCTACCGAACTATAGAATTATGAACTTATCGATCAAAAGCCATAAAGGTATTGTTTGCGGAAGTAGGAAATGTCTTATTCAACATATAGCAAACTTAATCACACCAGATGACTGTAGAACATTTGACAAGTTTCAACTTTTCTTCAAAAACAGCTGATTACTAAGATTACAGTGAACATGAACAATTCTACTTCTTTATGTATCCGAATTATAAACAACTTTTGTAAATTAAATTTCATACAACTCGACGAACTTCAAAGAACCGTTTAAGGTAAAATATCTGTCCAACTGTCATCGAGACAAGTATAAGAGCTTCAAAGACAGCCCAAAGAACTACCCTCGAGTTTGTATTTTCATTTACTGAAAAAACTTTAAATAATTTTCAACACTTTAAACCTTTATAAAAAACAAGACAATATTAAGGCTAAAATTTCAATCAAATACAATTTCAAGCATGCAACATATCCTGTCATAATTTAGATTTCAACAGCCGAATGTATTGTATGTAAATAATAACAAATACATCTAATGGATATCTCAAGTCGAAAAATCAAGAATGTAATGATTTTATCGAATACATGAAAAAAATAAATAAATAGGTCATATATTTTGAAATCCAAATAAGTAGAAAATAAAGGACTTACTTGATCTATGTACACGTTCTCGCACTTCCATATACTCTTGCTCATGCTTAACAGATGTCAACGCTGACGACAATTCTCGTACCATTTCCTCCAGTTTCAGATTTTCGGCTAAAAAACTACTTACTCAACTACGAATGGTAAAAATTGTCAAAAAACTTCAAAACATGTCCAAGACTAACATAAAATACATAATAGTTTTAAAAAAAAATAAAATATAAAAACACACCTGTAGCATTGTCTAAATCTTGATTTAATGGATCCTGTTGACCTGGTTCTGCAATTTCCATACTAAACATAACCATTTTTGGAGTCATTGTTGACATCTTATTTCCGAAGCAGTAAGTATATGCTCCATCCATATGAGCCGCAAAAGTATATTTACCAGAACTTTCTCGTTCACCCTTGTAAATTTCTTTTTTGTCAGGTCCAACAATCTTGAATAATTTAACTTTAAATTGTAATAAACAACTAAAATGAAAACGAAAAGTTAACTGCTTTATGAGAGTTAAGCAGATGCAAGTAAAATGCTTCAAAAAATGTAAATAAAAACGCAGCTTTCAAATTAATTGTGCTATGATCAACAGCACACCAGTAACCAAATACTTATCTACAAATAAGCTACTTTTATAAATTCTAAGCGCAATAGAAACTTTAAGAGTGATGCAAAAGAATAACCTTCACATCGATATCTAGAAAACCACCTTCAGCAACTTCAAACATTAGACTCATTTTAGTGTTAGCTGTTACGCGGTCAAAATAGCACAACTCTTCGTTTGCATCGACGTTTATGAAATATGAAGCTGACTGCACAAAGCAATAAAACGTTAACAGCAGTTCAATTAACATCACCTGTGAATATTAACTTTCGAAACGACAATTTATCTAATTTATGTGAACAAAGTAAATGCATTTGGTAAGACAATGAAACTTTGGCATTAACTAACACTAAATAATGTGACAATAAGTATATATGATTGGAAATAATGAAGAAAGGATGCTAAACTACGGAATCTTTATCAATCTTAGAAATATTCGCGTCACTCACACCTAAGTACTTAAGATGTTCCAATAAATAACAAATCAGAATCAGATTTATCTCATACTACAACAACCATACCGCCACATTTCTTCTCATTTCGTATTACTTCAGGTCGCATTACACCAATTCGATGGTGTGTGTTGTGATTTAACGCGCTGCAAACGATGCAGACGTTAAATCTCGTCAAATTTTCCTCTCCTTTCAAGGCAGTTTTTATAATTTGCTGAGATAAGTTACTTGGTGCAACAATATGCTGAAGTTTCATTCTTTGCAGAAGACTAATATAAGATACAGTAATTAACCATCTTGGCGTCACACCGTGATCACAATCATTAGATCTAGTTCCTGTCTGCTTTACCAAGTATGTTGAATCTTTCAAAGTACACTGTAACCGAATTCTTTCTGAGTTTTCAAGCTCCTGTCTGCTTTACAAAGTCTATTTGAAAATATTGTGAGTTGAATTTTCAAGTTTTATTTTGCTAATAAAATGTTCATGTCACATTACACGTGCAGGAATTAAGAGTTAAGCGTGTTCTCTCAGTAATAAAGTTCTTTATACTCTTTTATTATTAATTGTTTTTCCATTATTCTGCAATTCAATCAAATATTATCCATTTTGTATTGAAAAAACTCTGCGCAAAGAATCATTTGTTTTATGCATTGAATTTACTTCCATAAAAATACTGATAATGCAATTAGTAATCATAACAAATTATAACAACAATATGCATTGAAAAATAGAAAAAGTAAAACTTTAAGACTTACTGAGTTTATTTCACATAATTAGAATGATAGTAGTGACTCTATTCATTTCTATAAGTTATTGATTCAAAAAGGAAAGTTATATAAAGTTCGATCTTGCAACTTTTTTCTTTGCTTCTGCAATCTTTTAGCGCACTTCTCGATTGCTTTCTGTGTGAGCAATTTAGTTAGCAAGCAAATATTCCACAGTTTCCACTTTTTAAGTTCATTTTTACCTTAAAAAGCAATTGTTTTTAACGAAACAATTACAATTATTAGTTTTCTTTTTTTTTCAACAAAAAATTCCGTTTTGGACTTTGATAATTTGATCAATCTCTTCATTGGATGGCTGAAAGATATGAATTATACTGGTGAAAAACCAAGTTGAAATCAATAATGTCAAGTATAACTTTGATTAATAATGACTTGAATTCAAAAAACTGCAATAGTCCTCCTCTACCTATGCTTTTTTATTGCCAGTAATTTTCCCAGAGAACTGAGCTGTGCTTGAAGTAAGATATGAATTATTTGAAGGTTGAGATGAATGTAACTGCCTATTTAGTGCACCTAAAACGAGGGAAATTAATCAAGAATTTAGATTTAAATTTGCTTGAAGTCATTTATTACCGACAATTTCAATATTTTTGCAGCTCCTTCTTACAGCAACTGAAAATTTTGCCAATTATTTTATCTATACATTAAAATTACATCTAAAAATATTGCGATTAAGCAATTTTTATTAAAACGACAGAAATGATTTTAATAAAATTAAGCAGATTGTTTAAGCACAAGTGTCAAGAATAATTTTGAATGGTATCAGATAACTTCTAGTTGACTTGCACATTTTGCAAAAAGAATTAAAAGGTTTTATGAATTATAATGTTTCTTTCATAATTATTGCACTACCTGTAAAAATTATGAGAATAATAACGTCGCAGAATTTATCGCATTATAGAGTATTCATTTTTGAGTTTTTCTTTCAGTCAAAAAAATTAATTTATCGTTTTTACGTGTTATATTCACTTACAAGATGAAATTGAAGTTTTAGTTGTGAATAATTTTTTGTCCTCAAAACTTTCAAACAAAATTTCGTTTTTTCTATGCTTTTTCTTTTTTTACTGTCAGTTTTTGCAGAAATGTTTGATAATACCTTCTAGAAAGCTACCAAAGAGGTTAAAGCTAAGATTCATTCAACGAACCGTACAAAATCCAATTAATAGCAGAATTAGTGAAGGGAAGAGCATGGATAAGGTACATGAGATATACAAATATTGCTTTAGCGTCCCCACTTTCATCTTTGTTATATTCCAAATAAACTGCATAAATTGTTGCCAACCAGAACGGTGTCCAGCAAAGGTAATAAAAACACGCAACTGTTAGGGTAAATAAGGAAATTCGTAAGAGTGGAATGCGTGAACTCTGCAGATCAACAAATAAAATTTTTTTGAAAGCAAATAATCATAAACGTCTTTTAAATGAACAATGAAAATTTATTCAATTTAGTAATAACTTTTCGAATTTCAAAAATAATAAAAATTAATCAACCAAATGAAATCTTTTTATAATATGCAAAGGGAAATTATTAAATTTGAAGTGAATTCAATTTATATCATTAACTTCTCTTTTCATTTTTAACTTTTACAACATTAAGAAATTGTCTCATAAATGATATAAAGTTTTGATTAGTAATTTAATATTTTATACTTTTTCTAAATTTGAAGCGAATGGTTATTTTTAAAAAACGTTTTAATTTGTAAAAGTCAATAAATATTTTGAAAATTTTTAACAAATACGCGAAAATTCTGTTAAAATATAAATGGTAATTTGACTTCAAAATATTGCAGTTTTTTAATTTTTATTAAATCGAAAGTTAAAGTAAGTTATGAAAATAAATTTACCTTAAATTGTCGGGCATGTTTTTTTAATCGTTTCAACAATTTTGTGTAAAAAAAAGCTATCAGAAAAAGTGGAATACAGTAGCAGAGTATAAATTGGTGTATAGTAAAAAGTGTGAATTTGAATGAAGAAATATTAACCATTATGCATTTTTTGATTTTCATCTGAGTGACCTTAAAAGGCGCTGTTTCCTGCAAAGAAATTTACTGTAATTCTTAAAAGATTACTTTTTAGAGAAGAAAAAAACCCAAAGGATTATTGGAATTTTGCTGATTGCAGAAGTTCGCAGTGAAGCTTTCAAGAAAAAGTTGCAATTATTCACTAAAAATTTGAAAAAAACAACTGAATAATATGGATGCTAAAAGCTGATGGAATATGTTTTATATTTTGAATAACTGATATGAAAAGATTACCTTCTCAAAAAGCACCAAATCGTGAACTTCAAAACTCCACAAGAGTGGGTACAAAATAATCATTGCATAAGATGCTAATCCTAGGAAAAAAAATTATACTCAAGTTTAACTTATTTAACAAAGTAAAAAACACTTAAAATTAAATTTTAATCACTGCTTTTAGCTAATCAAGTTTGGCTGAAAGTGAAATATCTTTTATAATATGAATATTATTAATAATGAATATTATTAAAAATATTCTGGGATAGTTTTTTGATAAATATTTTTGCTTCTTCTCTTTTTATGACTCACATCACTTTTGTTAACTGCAATGGGAATATTTTTAAATAGCTTCCCAAAAAATTACAATTTGGAAAAATTTTATGATATGATTACCTGTCAAAATAATGACGGCAAAACGCTTGGATCCAAGCCATTTGTGTTGCAAATGACAAACGCTAACATATCGATCAAAGGACATTACCGTTATAATTAATGATGATAATATTTTACCAAAGTTTTCTAATACAGCGTGTAATTTACATACTACCGTACCAAACATCCAGAATCCGAGAATCTACAAAAACTTCAGTGAAATCGAAGATATTCATTAAAAGAATTTTAAATTTCTAGATATAAAAGCAAAGTTTTTAATACAGTATAAGTTATACTTACATACTATTGTCAAATGTCAAAACTTTTCAATAATTTTTGTGGAAATAAGTAATACTTCACATTAGTATTGATAATAACAGCAATAAGATAATTTATCAGCTTACTTGGTCAATAACAGTGAATGGCAGTGAAACACAAACACAGAAATCAACGCATGATAAAGCAATTATATAGATTAAAGTATTATCTAGAGCCCCACGGTTTGATCGGGTCTGTAAATTGAGTAATAATATAAACTACCAGCTTAGAATCTTCTAAAATTTAAAATCAGGCAAATCAAGCAAGACACACACTTTCGGTTTCAATTTGTCCTCAATTGAAAATTGAAAAAATGTTGATTATTTTAGCGTGTTCTAAAAATCGAAATTACTTTATTTATGAAAATGTGTTAAGAAAAATATTTAACAAGAATTAATCATTAAAAGCCATATGATATGGAATTGTTTGCAAATTAAATTGAAAATAAGATATAGTTTGAATAAAAATTCTATTTTTTAATTTTATCAAGCACATGTCAATTACAAATAATATTTACAGAAAATTTAGTTAGAATTAATTACAACTAAGAATTGGTAAGCAAAATGAGATAAAATAACGATTTTTTATTGGAATTGTAATTTTTCTAAGAGATTGAAAACAGCCGTTTGTGGTTCCAAAATAACAATAAATTATTATAAAATTTTCTGATAGCTTCCGAAAACTTATTGATTGATGATTGAAAATATAGTAAATTTGATTCTTTTCAGATAAAAACAAACGTACCACATGATAAATAGTAGTGAGAACAGCAACGTTACCACAGGTACCAAACAAAAATAGTAACATATACGTCCCTGCCATAATCAAAACTTGAAGATCTTCATGATTTGGTGGTGGCAGGATATACGTAAGTTCAATTTTCGGTTGATATTCCATCATTAATTGCTTTAAGTGGAAAAATATTTCTTGAAGTCGTGATTGAGTATGAACTTGGATATAAGGTTATGAGATCCAAGCTATGAACTTCAATTATTCTCTTTTCTTTAGTGCAACAAAAGAACATTTTTTATGTACTTTCATATAAGATTCAAGCCATAAACGCATTTTATGGCTTGAATAATATATGTATGAAAGTCACATATGTAGCTTACATAAAAAGTATTTAATTATTCTTCTTTGCTACAGTAAACTGTTTTTTATATTTACTGCTAGTTAATGCTTAATTTATTCTTGACTAGCAATAAGGACAAAAAGCAGTTTTGCTAGAAAGTCTAGACTTTAAACAATTATTTAAGGTCAGTGCATTTTGCTTGATCATTACTGATTGTACCTCTTTTTTTTCGTCGGTAATATTGAACCGTAATTCTTTTTGTTCCTCGAATGGATGTAGTTGATTATCAATTACCATTATCGCAACTTTGAGAATAATTATCAAAATCTATATTTTCACGATAAATTTACCCTCCTTTTTTGCGGATTAAACTACAACTGTTAAAATTTCTTCCACAGTCATCACAGTATTAAGGGAATTGCTTTTACAATTTCTGAGTTTATCTTTTAAAAAATCAAATATAAGTAGTATAGCTTTGAATTTAATTTATACAATTCATATGTTAATGTTGTAATATTTGAACACTAAAAGTGACAAAAATTTTCAAATTTGCTTTGCATTCATTTTTAAGGTTTTATTTGGAATCCTTTTTTTTAACTTCTGAAAATCAATTCAGTTCCAAAATTAGAAATGCCTGAGAGCTGAGGACACTTCTGCTCAAAAATTGTCTTTGTAAATCAAAATTACTGCAGTCAAAATCACAAAACTAAATAAGTTTCTGACAATTCTTTTTCGGAATATATTGTGACCTGAAATTCCATTTCAACAAATACCCAAACAAACATTTTTTGACTTCATCTTTCCCACTTTGACAATATAAATTTTTATGAAAAATTTATAAATTAACAATTTGCTACTTTGGATTTTGTTACTTTCTTATTTGAAAGTATCGCTTATCATACCGATTTGCCTTCAGCACTTTGTATTATCAACAATTTGTCATGGTTGAAAAGTTTGTCCCTCAGAATTAAAAGATCTATTCTCATCTAGAAGTGTTAAGATAAGACATATGCGAAGTCAGCCATAAAATAACTTAGAATCCAAATTTTGAAATGCTCAGATTTCATTTCTTTAATGACAACAATGAATCTTTATGACATAATTTTTACGAAGCGAAACTTTTCAGGATCTATCTAACATTCATCTAAATTAATGCGGGTTATTTCAGTTAGTAATTAAAATAATTGCAAAACTATACTAGTTCAGATATTTATCGTCAAAGCACTGACTAATAATTTTAAATAATCAACTTCAAAATCAATTTTACAACAAAAAATTATTCAATAAATTTGTGCTCCCTGAAATTATTCAATAAATTCATGTTTCCTGAAGTTGTATTTTATATTATAAATTAATTTTTTGACATTCATGATAGCAAATTCAATTCGAGTACATTTGAACAAAAAATTTCACTTAGAGGAAAATGTAAATATCAATAGATAATATTTAATATGTTCGATAATGCAAAAAATAAAAAATTACATCTCTCAACCAAAATTAAAATTTGTAATTTACAACGCAATACGTTATAATAATTACGCGTAAAAGGCAGCTATGTCTAAGTAAGAGTCAGAAAGTCAAAATCAATGACTATAATCTATTCAATATCACAAGAAAAGTTGAAAATTTGTATTTTAATCGGTCATTGAATTCTTACGTGCAAACAAATGGAAAGTTGGATATCGAATGTGACATTCGTCATAATTAATTTATATAAAAAAGTACTAATATTATATACTTTTGAATTTTTTGCCATTTGCTTGGCTGTCGTATTGGTAAGATCTAAAAATACCGGTTAAGATGTTAAAATAAATTAATAAGAACAAAACATACTTCCATTAGATGCATTTTTTCAAAATGTGCTTCCTTTTTTGTTACTTTCAAAGCTTTGTTCTATATATTCTAGTTGTCATCAGTTACAGCATGAAGAATGAAGCATTAAAAGTAAAAAAATAAATCTTTTAGAAGATAAGTTTAGCATTAAAATCAGAAAACACAAAGTATACAACTGAATATTAATTATACTTTCAAATAATAATAAATAAAGTTGAGTAACTTTGAACAAATTTAGTCATTTTGAAAATTTGAATTTAGAAATAATAAAATGTTTTGAAGTTGTCGTAGTAATAATCATGCAAAAATAATTAAATTTAAGCTATAATTGAAATATTACTTTATAAAAAAGAATAACAAATAAATGCATGTAACAACTGTGAATTGTTATAGATCAGTTATTGTTATCAGTTATCAATTACTTGTTTATTAGCATAATGATTATAGAAGAGAAGCTGTATTTATTTTACAAAATTTAATAAATTAACGATGCTTGTTGCACAGGCAAATTAGTTACTTAACAGAACAACTAAAACTAAATCAAATTAAAATAAACGATTGTAATATGTATTTGGTCATAACAAGTGATTAAAAACTTATTTTTGTCATTGGTAAATAGCTTGTTTACCTTTCAAATAACAAATTCTATTTAAGCACAGAAAGTTATTTTCTTAGCTAATACTAATTTTTTCATTCATTACTTTTGGCATTTTTTGACACTAAAAATAACAATTAATACCATTAACTTTCAAAAAATTTTTGAAAACACTAAGAACGAAATTTAAATGTAAGCTTCTCGAAGAAAACTTTGCTTCACGTTTAGGCAGTAACAATGGATTGTAAACTTTTAATTTGATAATTGAAAAATGGATAAGATTGCATTAAAAATATTTATTCATAATTACTGATATTTTAGGTTTCAGTTGGGAATTGCACAATGATAATATGCATAAATAATCAAAAAAGTAAGATAACATACAATTAGCTGAAAATGATTGATGCAACAATTTGTTATAAATTGTAAAATTGTAAAGGTAGATTCTTGTTGTTGCCAATTCATCACTAAGTTTGATGGAAAGATTTATTATTTGTTTCAAACATTAGTATTTATCATGCAAAAAGAATATTCTTGAAAACATGTATAATTTCCATAATAAGAAAGAAATAAATTCTATTCAATAAATTCTTAATCAGAAACTGAATTCAGATAAAGTCTGGTTTGAAAATTTGAAATCAAATCTGTTTGTCAAAAGTAAACATAAAAATTGATAAAAATTGTAAATATAAACTGATGAAACTAGTTAAATGATATGTATTATTATTCAAATTATTGTTTAAATTCAGAAGAAAATATTTACATCATTATTTGGTGAAAAAGAAATTTAATCAAAATGCATTGCATAAGTTTAATTTTTATTAAGACTGTTTTTTTCTTGAGAAAAATATTTAAAAAAGCTTTATTAGCTAAAGGTAGTCTAACTTTTAAGTAATTTCTGAGCATTATAATGATTACATTTTAAGTACGCAATGATTCCGCTCTTATCTTTCGCTACTTGAACGAGCTTTATAAATTTTAAATACTTGCGTTTCGTGGGATGCTAGTTGAAAGTCTATAAACTTTATTAAATAATGCCAACATTATTAATGTGAACTTTATAAATTGTTTCAGTAAAATAAGTTATTTTTCCTGGAAAAAAAATCCTTTTATTATAATGAAAATAATTCCAAGGAAATTTAAATAATCATCATTTACTACGCAAAATCTTTATTAATCAACTAGCTAATAATATTTCTCACACAAAATAAACTATTGCAATTGAATAATTTTGAATATACATTTATATGTTTGATACTTGAAGAGGTTGCTTGTATAAGTCAACATTTTCTGAATTTCCAATTTGATTTCATCTCGTCTGTAATAGATTTTAAGACAGTTATAGTATGTAAATTTTGTTCTTTGGGATTTAGTACCTGTCTCTGTTGTTCGTATGAGTCAATACTGTATTGGATTTCAAGAAACTGACTACAGATTGAACTTAGTTAGAAGACACAATGAAAGAAAATAAGGCAGTTGTGAGAGAAAGGCATAGGTAATATATAGATGACTTGAGATAATTCATGTTTGAGAAATATTGAAAGTATGCAAAGGCCGACAATATTACAAACGATGTCAGAATCAGCAATTGGTAATATAAATGCACAAACTGATAACAATAAGAGATCAAATCTGTTCAACTCGTAGAATTGTTGCATTTTATTTGTTTGCTTTGGTGTGAACAATGCTTTTTTTTCATTAAATAACAATAAATGAGATTATTGTGTATTTTTGAAGGTACCTTAGACTTGGAAAAAATAATAAAGTTTGCATCACACTATTGTATGGCTACATCTGAACTGTACTTCTTAAGCAAAACAACTTCAAATCAGTAACTTGTACAGTACATGGATAGATGAGTTGTGATAAAATCATTGTCTTAATCAAACTATATCAGCTATTTCTGGAAAAAAAGCGCAATCTTTGGCAGTTTTACAAGTAAAAAAATTCAGCCTTAAAGCAGTTGGATAGAAATCATTCAATCGCTCAACTCTTATGATACAAATCCCAAATGAGCTTTCAAAAATACTTATGGAACCTTTTGAGAGTTCATTTGAGATGGATATTTATCCATTTCAAAAGCAAATTTCAAGCAGTAGCACTCCGAAAGTTCACTGCCCCCTCAATTTAAAGTTATTCCAAGCATCGATAAATATAAATAGTGTACTAAAATTAAACGATAGTACATATCAGACGAAAGTAACATTTTAGTTTTACATTTTTACATATTCTTCTCAAGGAAACTCAATTTTTGCTGAAACATGTCAGAATTGCATTTTCAGTTTGCAATAAATCACATGCTAAAAAGCGAAAATTAGATAAATTTTTATGCTTTACTGAAAAATGTTAGAACGTAACATAAAGTTCACTTTGTGTTACGTTTTGACAGTCTAATCACTGCAAAAATTCATAATGTTAATGAGAGAACGAAAGTAGAATGTTGCAACTAACAACAAATATAAATCAACGTGACCTTTTGAACTGTTTGCAACAATTCAGCATCAGTGGCAAACTATGCGTAACAATAACAGACTTAATACTACATTTTAACAGAAGAACAGAAAAAATCAACACAAAATGGGCTTCTACTTGAAAATAGTTCTATACGACAGAAATAATAACAATTATATTCACAATTTCGTTATAAAGCCTTCATGTAAAGCTAAATAAACATTTTGTAACACATACAAATTTATAATACTGAGAATTTCTTTGTGAATACTTCGAAATATATCATTTATGCTAACTGATATGACGCACTGGCTTATACTCAGTATTGCTAATTTTTGGCATACAAATTAGATAGTATCAGAGTGAGAAAGTATGCAGGTAGAAGTTCAATATCAATGTAGTATTAATTATTACAGTAATCCTGAAAATATTACCATGATAATATAAAACACGATCAAGAATTGGAGGTATATGATACAAGTACGTTCAATCTGCTCTTATATTCCAGTGGTTTCTTGGTATATGACCTCCAAGATCACCAACAAATCTATCCTGAATAGAGCGTTGCAAGCCACAAGGCCTATGGAACTCTTGACCACGTTCATGAATCCATTTGTTAGAAACCCATTTAACACCAGTCAATACGGGACAAGCAGCATGACGAGTTCTAAAATCACCTTCCCCACTACGCAATAAATTGTACCAAAACAAAGCGTCGTTCTAAAAGAATTGCACCACTTACTGCGATATGAACTCGTTCTAATAATTAATCAGAATGTTATTTGAAAAAGAATCTTTTAAAACAATTCATTAAAACTGCTTCAAGTGAAAAATTGGTTTTCAAAATTATAAGACTAGTTAAAAAGTGGAACAATCAACAAGACTTTTTATACACAATTAATTTATTAACTGAAGCGATAAAATCACAAATAATATCATTGACAGCGGGAAACTAACTTTTGAGGGTAAAACTGTTGTTCTCACGTGTGTGAATACAGTCGCGCCACCTGATTCAGGCTGCGTCATCTGAAATTTTCAAAATTTATACAATACTTGAATCACATACTTAATCAAGATATGCAAACAGCATTTTTATTACTTTCTCAATTCGTGAAAACAGAGAGAACTAATAAATATAATAGTAGAAATAAAAATTGAAACAAATCAAAATTTTCTCCCAACTTGAAAACAATGAAATGCAAGCAATGAAACTTTCTAAAAGTTGAATCAAAAAACGATACAAAATAGCAACTATTCAGTCTTCATTTAACACTGCTTAGTAGAAATGATAACAAAATTCTTACATAAAATAAAACTGTCGCCAAACGATTTCCAGTATTCAGTGATTGAAAAGCATTTACTTCTTCTTTCTGCATTAATCAGACGGTATTTTTGTAATATCCTCATTATGATTCATACAATTTTTCAATGCATCGTATTTTTCATCAATTTATAAACAAGTAATTTCACTTAACAACGATAAAATGACAATTATTAAAAATGAAAAATTGGGGGAAAAAACTGTTTAAACGGACCCGCGCAAAGTCAAAATGAGGATCGTAATGCCCACCAATACCATAATTTCCAACCTAAACTGAGTTTATTACAGAAGACAAAAATACTAATTATATTATTTTGGAGATGGAAATTTTCAAGATTTTTAGTGATAATCATCAAAAGTTTAAACTAGATAGTTTAAACTATATCAAGAAATATATAGAGTTGAAGTATTCAATATTACATATTTAATGTTTAAATGAACTTGCAATTATACAAGTATCAAAACCTAAGATCTTGCAATTCACTTTCATTACAAGGTCGTAAGTTTAATATTCAAACAGATGTGTATCATTTTAGGTCAACTAAACATATCAGAAGTTATCACCTTGTGAAAAAATTTAGAGTTTTAATACTTGAATAAATGTGTAAGAGTTTAGAATTTACTTTCATCAACAAACCTGCAAATCTTCCGAAGTTTCTTGCTCTAAATTAGTCATTAAACCAATACGCCTATTGATTCGACGTATAATCTCATGTTCGTCATCTTTCAGCCACGCACTAATAAAAAAGAACTGATGATATAAATACTTCAATAATGACTTACTACCAGAAACAATCTTCAGTCATCAAAAGCAAGTACTCAAAGAATAGAATTAAACTTTTGTTCAAATTCAAACGAAGAGATCACTTGATCTAATCACAAACTTTTCCAAGAGTTTCACAAGTAAACAACTAAAATTAGTTAGATTTTTTCTACCTGATAACTATTACAAAGAAAGTGAATCTATTCCCTAAATAACTCAAAGAGTGGATTTTTATAAAATTTTCAAACTTTTTTCAATAATTTTGAATAAATATTCATTGAACAGATAGCTTTTAATAAGTTCATAATAATTAACCTTTTACTTATTCTATATGAAGCTGTCTCAAGTTCACCAGTAACTGAATTCTGAACAGTAGCTCTTCGCAACTACAAAATGCGTAAAATACTAAAATATTTTACAATTTTACCATCAAAATCATGCGGTATCTCAACATAGTTTCAAATCAGTTCTGAATCTGTTCTAATAGATTCTTAACTTGGAGTTTTGCTATATTTATCTTTGTTTTATCGTTATTTCTCATTTTTCTGTTAATTGTGTTCCATTAAATTTTTTAATTTGAAGTAAATAGGAACTTTTTTTAATGTTGAAACAAACGAAATCTTGAATGAATGGATAAGAACAAGAAGTAATTTGAATTTTTAGATATTGTTAGTACTTCTGGTGAAAAAGTGATAAGATTTAACAAAAACCGAAAGCTGTTATTTCATAAAAAATAAAAAACCAAAGGGCTATACAAATGCAAACCTACAAATGATGCTATGAATAATTAATTTATTTACGTAACGCATATGAAAAAAAGAAAAATACCTTCGGCTTTGCTAGAAACTGAATTAATTCTACTTCGTCATCTGTGATTACACCTCGAAATAACACAGCAAGTGGACTAAATCTCAAAATTTCAATTTTGAAGGGAGCTAAACGCAAGAACGGACGATCCATTTTATAATAGCAATACAATTTCGAAGTTTCTTTCACACTCTGAAGAAAAATAATTCCTTTTTAGAGTTTAGAGCTAAAAGAATTTGATAAAAAGCTGAGCACTGGATTAATTTTTTTTCACTTTTTACTCTCAATATTAAAATTAATTTTCATTTTTCGCCTTGGAATTGCAAGTATAAGAATTCCAAGAAGTAATGGCGCATTCAAAATTGTTTAATAGCACTTATGAGAATTGATGAACTTATTATTCAAATAAAATATCGAAGGTTATCAAATAAGAAACTTTTACCACAGGAACTTCATTTCTACATAACGCTTCATACATTTCACTTTCAGCAGCATCTAAACCACTACTTGGTCTGCGATTATTTATTGGTGGAATATTTCGTCGGTAATTATCTGCTTTTATGCCATCTTTCGCTAACAGATCTTCATACCACTGGATGTTATTTTTGGCTCGAGGATGATCTGGACCTGAAATGAGATCAGAATCTGCCTCAAATATACAAAGTATTTTTATACTTGAAGTAGTAGTCACATAAAGTACTATTTGCAAGTAAAATTTTGGGCAGAAGTTAAAAAATGAAAAGAAATTAAGTGTGAATATTAAGTTTTCAAATTAAATGTTTCTTACTATAATATCAGAAATGACTGACTAATTTTAAGTAGTTTATCGGTGAGTATAAGTGCTCTTTTCAGATTATCTTGTTTGAACATTGAAAATGCCAAATATTCCAATATCTCAGAAACATTTACAGTACTATTAGGCAATTCATCTTGTAATCGTTCTAATGCTTCTTGCATCCACATTATTGTATGGTAATGATCATCCGCACTGTATGCTGCGCGCCCAATATCAAAGCAGTCACGAGCTCAAAATATTTATATAATAGTTCAAAACAAAGTCATCTATATATGCTTGTAATTTGATACTGATACTTTAAACACTTATCAGATAACAGTCCAAACTTAGTAAAGGTAACGTAATATAGGCCTGAACATGATCTCATTCTGATCGAAAATAAATTTAAAACACTTTTTTTCAAAGCTATGTTTTAGGGGCACAGATCGTGACTATTCAATGTGGCTCTAGAATCCATATTTATACCGGTTAGTGATTGAGAGATCGAAACATTCAAGATTTTGCCATTAGCCATTTCCTTGACATCCAGTCGATATGTATCTTGCAATCGCAAAAGTGCCATCGAAGCTCCAGTCAAGTCTTCCTTAAAAGTTTATTTCATTCTTTACAATGCATTTTACTTCAATTCGAAAATATAATAGGTATTCAAATACTGTCTTTGTTAATATATTAAAAATAAATAACAAAAATATAACAGACAATCAATTTCAAATGTTTAAAATTCATGTCATAATGAATACCATGGCTGGATTTTTTGCATTATTCATGGCTTGAACCTCGGAAATTTCATTTAATAATTCATCACCAACATCATTACTTGCTAACCGCTTTATATCATCCCTTTCTTCAATCATTTCTTTGATAAATAAATAGGCGCTGATTGGATTAGTGATCATTCGCATGCTATCTTCTAATTTACTGCTGACACGCTGCTTTTTTCGTTTCCAAAGCCTGGAACTTGTCATGTAACTTATATTTAAACTAAAAATATGGTTAATTTTTATAATGCTACTTGAGTCAAACACTTAAAATGGTTGAGACTGCTTAAAGTTTATATTAACTTTTTTCTGTTTTCATTAAATCATACATTTTATTTATAGTCAATTACAATGAACAGTGTTGTATGAGTTTTTAAAGTTGGTAAAGAATGTCGAATAAAGTAAAAATTATGTTTCGATTAAAACTTGGTTGCACATGATTACCTATATTAATTAATTGAATATATCATTTGAAATCACCCAATCCGACAAATATAAACAATATTATTTATATGATACAATACACTTGGTAGTGAATTTGACTATTACGATCAACTGATTCAATTAATAAGTTCTATCATATCAATAACGATGTTGCGAATTTGGATAATGGATAGTATGATTAGACAAACTGTTTGAGTGCATCTAAACGTTGCTCAAATCGTTCGATGTAAGATTCTAATATTTCTGGCAATTCTTTTTCTGTTTCAAGAAGTAATTCCATGTCCGCGATTGATGTGAACAAATCCGCTGTTGCCACAAGTGGCCAAGTTATCATCAATATCATCAACAGAGCAGCTGATAACATTGTTTCTATAAATTAGATAACAGTAGAAAGCAAATTACATCGAGAGTAGAGAAAAAATTGATTTCAATTTTTCGGTTAATACTATGAAGTCATCTAATGTGTGCAGTGAAAATCAATAATAGAATCTTATAATTCGAGACAGTTTGATTCGATTACTGAAAATGAAATCAATAAAAGCCAGCTGTAAATTTGACTTTGCGATGCTAATTAGAAATCAAAATTATTTAGAATGACAGAAAACTAAAGTTTAATCAAAGAATAATTTAATAGCTAAATTTAATAGCAAATATGCAAAGTATATCTTCGAACTGTTATATTTATTTTTCAACAATTTACAGAAAATCTTTTCAGTGAAACAAATGATAAGCAGACTTAATTTTAAATTTGTTTCGTCTTTTTTCATTAAAGCCATTTGATTTTGTATGCTATAAAATCACTTGTATTGTCACTAATTATCAGTTATTAGTTTTAATTTTGATGATATCTTTCGCTTACATTTATTGTAATACTGCAGTGAGTTTTTAATTTTAAACTGAATAATCCTTTAAGATTCCTTTAATATAAATCGACTAAAGCTCAGCAATATAGAAGAAGAATGAAGAAGAGATGGATTGTGTGTCAGAGAAGTAAAGAAAGTGAAATACTAATCACATAAGCAACTCTGTTAAGCAAGATAAATATGAAGATATTAAAGTGATTAATGATCAATTACAGAGAAAGCAAAACTGATCACCAAATCAATCTGACTGAATGCATGATAATGAGCAAGAAGTACTACTACTTAAATTTCAGAAGCCCAAAATTTTTGAGAGTAAATCACAAATCAAAAAGTAACTAATCTGAAGACAAGCAAATTTGACATCCTATTGAAGATTCAGAGGCTAAGAGTCAAGACAATACTATTACTTTTTCGATTATAATTAAAATTTTCTGTAAAACAACTTTCACGGAATGGATTTAAATTGCCATATTTTGAAACCAATATTTCTATTTTTGCACATCAAATTTCAGTAAGAGTGAATGGTACGCTTATTGGAGCAAATGATAATATCGAGTATAATTTACTCTACAATGATGATAGTAATGAAATTATACATAAGAAATCCACCAGTTCATGACATATTATCGATAATTTTCATCAATAAAAAAGAAATAAAAATTCTGAAAAATAGAACTATAGAGAAATCTACGGCTCATATGAATCAAATTTGAAGGGTTTGTACCCAAAACACGTGCAAAAAGTCAATCCCGTAATATAAGAACTACAGTTTGTTCCTTAAAAGTAGGGTGCAGAAAAGTAATAAGAAAAAAAACCTCCAGAAAATGAAAGATCAAAAAAGTGTTAATGTTACAAGAATGGTGTAAAAACAATACCAACTTTACTGTCAGAATGAATAAAATAATTATCTTTTTCAACAACTAATAAGCCTAAAATTTTAGAGTGCTATCTCAATATTACATAGTGACGTTTTCAGTGATATAAATGAATACTGTAAAAACATCACCAAGTTGAAAATATTCAGAGATCGGAATCAAGCACCTGACTGGCAAAAATTCAGTGCTCCAATGCAAAATTTCCAAAATGAGAAATTAGCAGAATTCAATCAAACTATTAAAAAATTCAGTGAAAGAAAATTATTAGCTCACCTATGTAACTCTTGCAACTGCTGATTTTTTCTAACAACTACAATCAATCCGACGCACTAAACTAAATTCTGAAGTAGTAATATTGCTCTCATTTTAGCAAAAAATTCTCATTAGAAATGATAACAAAGTGGTAAAAGGTAAGATAGTATAGCAGAATGATGAAAAATGTCTGTTCGGAGAAGTGGAAAGGAATGTGGTCATCATCATAGCGTAACTAACCCAAATTGCTGAAACTATTCGCTTCTATTTTGCTCTCAAATAATTTCTTGGTAATTAATTGTGTAAAACAGGAAATATAGTTAATCTTGAACAGTATCACAAAGAGATTACTTCTTAAAATATAGGAAATCAAATGAAAATGCATGAAAGAAGACTGAGAATGTTAGTACAAAAATTATCACCAATAACCAAACCAGCCAACAATTCGTAGTAAAAACAAAAAGGAAGCAATTAGAATTAAGATGATAGAATGGTGTTAAAAGTAAATTATAGTTGCAAGATTATGTAGTAAAAATCTAATGATTATTACAGTTTTATTAGTAGGACGCTGAGACAATAGTAGTGGTGAAAAGTAACAAACACTGCTGATCTAACATGCGTAAGAATAATTAAATATATCCCTCAGTATGTAATCAATCACACGACGCTTTTAAGTCATTACGATATTCGACAGAAATTAAATAACGTCTTTACATATCTTTTTGAATTGGCGAACAGAGCTGAAATGATTAACTGTTTACTTTTCAATTTTACGTTGAAATGTTACATATAATCTTTATCACAAGTCAAGTACCATCGTTCCAGCATCATTACCAATATTGCAAGAATATTTTGCTAAAATTTATAATGAACACCAGTTGATATAAGAGAAAATCTTGCGCAAATTCACAAAACAACAACTTCTGTATTCGGATTCTGCTTTGCTCATGCAAAAAGAATATATTCATCATGATTCTTTACACTTTATTAAATTCGAAATATTCTAATTTTGGAAATCTGAATTAAATACCCTCCAAGTTGGCGTTATTCATAGAAATTTCTCCACAGTACTTCACAGTCTTTGATGTAGGCAGTAAAAGAAAGCATAAGCGTAATTGCGTTCACAAAACAACTGCAATTAATGCATTCACGCGGTTCGGAATCAGCAAAATATAGCGAAGGATTCTGAAAACGAACAAAACGTCAAGCAATGAAAGTTTGATAAATTATGAAAACTTGACAAGATAATATTTGAAGTAGAACAAGCGACCTCTTTCCCAAGTGACAATGGACTACTCACATTTGGGCCCATAGTTAACTTTTAGCCACGTAGACTGGTGAGAAAGCTTGCATGCATTAATTCGCGGAATATTTTAAAACCAGCTTGATGCAAAGACCTGTAAGTTAGTTCTCCACTTACTTTTCTCAATCGAATTCACATAAAAACTAGCTCCAAATGTAAATCAGTGTATCGCACAACAAGCAAATACCAGACCGACCTGACATTTCAACTTCACATAAGCTGCGTGTACAGGACAAAATCAGACAAGACAACACTCATTACGTTCCAGTAGCAAAGCAAGCTGCAAAATTTCCAGAATTATAGAATTTCACACATAATTTTATATTTTACAAATTGTTGCACTGTTATGATCAACAATAAGTATTTAGTGTTGTAATACGATTTACGCAAATTTAATTTGCATGCAACACGGCATTCATCAAAGTTTGCTCTAAAAATTCATGAATTTTGTCACGACATAACATGCAACGTTTCTTTACATAATTGATTAATGTATTGACCTCTATGGAATAGACTAACATATTATACACGGAGTTCACCACTCAAATAACTTATTCTAAATTTACTAGTTCCCGAAAAACTCTTTCTATTCATTTCAAGAACTTAGTAGGAAGTGAACATCAGCAATCTATTGCTAATATCACAGTGAAGCATCAATAAATGCTCATTGTGATTGCGTCAGTTGTGCAGTTTAGTGTAACAGTACTTTTATGAGCTGCTATTTTACTGGGCACAATTAAGTGAAAAGTTGTTTCAAAGCCAATTTTTCAACAGTTTTACCATTCAAAAGTAATTACTCGTCTCATATATTACACATGTCATAGAGAGAGCAAAACCTTATCTAAAAGTGAGTTCTTTACCAGACTGCACGATATCTGGAAGTAACATAAGCTAACAAGTATTAATAACCATAAAAACTGATAGATGATGTTGAAAAAAATTTATACAATTCGAAGATGACAAAATAAATTGTCCGTCATTTGTGAAATATGAATTACGTTCTCACCAAAAAAATATTAAGTAGTAGTAAATAGTTAGTTATTCAACGAGACGTTCTACTTCTACAAATGAATAAATCAATAATTCAATAGTAACTATAATAATAATATTACTGTTGAATTATTATTATTTATTATTATTCTTTTTATATATTACTTTTTGTTATTTTTATGTGATATTTTTAGAAGCCAATATTAATTTGTCGGAACTAACATCAATAGAGTACAATAAAAAGTGTGCTTAAAATCATAGAAACTTATTGTCTATTTTTGTAATGAAAATAATATTTGGTAGGTAAGTTTGAATATATGTGAGAAAGTATTTGCGTACTATGAATAAATATATTTCAGTGAATTTTGTGAGGGTGTTAGTGTGTGCGTTTCTATCTCTCAGCACAGCAATTGCACTCAATGCTGAAAAAATGAATTGCCGAGGAGAGGGAGCGTCTCAAATGCTTCTTTCTCTGTCCCGTCGTGAAATGCCTCCTCAAAGTCAAAAGTCACATTCATCCCCGTTTACGCACATTTTCTTCCTAACAGTAAAGCAGTTTGGAATTCAGTTTGAATGTTATTATTCCTTAAATCACATATAGATAATGCTAGTAGTAATTGTAATATTTTATTTCGTTTGAATTATTATGCAAAATTCTAAGATTATAACGATAATGATATTCAGTGGGTCTGATATTTTTGATTGTGCTTCAATTCTTTCGAATCGATTTTATATGTCGAACAAAACCCTCGATTTTGCCTCAAACTATCAAAGAACACGGCACATATGAAGCCTGTAAATAAATGCCATGTTTTATGCTCAATTCAAATTTTAATTATTTTATAAATCGAAGTTGAATTCTTTTTAACAATATTTGGCTCCGAAAATTTTAATCTGTCATGAAAACCACATAACGCTGGCACTCTGTACCGAAACCATTGCTGCAATTCTTTATGTCATTGAAATCATCGAAAGAAATTGATTTATGTGTAAATTTAGTTGAATTCATGCAAACATCGCTTCATTTCGATTGTTTTTATTTTTATTTTTCTGTTAGTAATTGTGCATTTAGAAGATTATT